AAAATAAAGTAAACGCGCAAAGAAAAGCAGATCAAAAAAGAGGTGAGGATGCGCGCGCGCCGTCCTGCAGCGTCGCCGGCCGCAGGCCAAGGAGCTCGGCTCCTCGAGAGCACCGACGGACGACGATCGGCTCCTCAGCAGTGGGACGCCGAGCTGGAGGCTCGGCCCGGAGCTCGCGCGGGCACGTGGAGCTTTCCGCTCGGGCCAGCAGGAAACGGGCGCCCCGCACAGCGACGCCCGCCGTAGAGTGCCGAGAGCTCGGCTCGACGCGAGCGCCGAGGAAAAGCGATCGGCTCCGCAGCAGTGGGACGCCGAGCTGGAGGCTCGGGCGGGAGCTCGCGCGAGCACATAGCGAGGTGCGTGCGCGGCGGCGTGACACAGGTGAGCGGGCAGCTGGCGCACATTTCGACTGTGGGAGCTGCCAGGAGTTTGCTCTCTCCGTTCACACCCCTTTGCAGAATACCCCGCTGCGCGTTAGTCTACGTGGGATGCGGAGGGGGAAGGGCCGCGTGCGCACCCCCACTAGCTCCGTCCGTCCGGAGTAGAGGGAGGGGGCGTTCCAACCCTCGGAGACCCGTGTATGTATGTATGTATGTAGGAAGGTGAAGAACAGTCAGGCTCGGACTGGACACCAGCGCGGTATGGGTGGACGCGAGACAGACGATGACGACACACTTTTTGCGATGTTTGTTATGGCCGCGCTTGCGGCGTTCGGAGTACTAGATATCGCAACCGCCGAAATGAAACTTGGTCGCTCGAGCGGCCCCGCGTCGCACGGCACGGCTCCCATGCCGCGCAGCACTTGGCGCAAGCTCACCTTGCGGTCCGCACGCCTTCGAGGTCATCCGCCTGCCGATCACCTGTCCGCCTCGCCGCGCGCGTGCCGCTCGCTGCGCAGCTACTCTGGCGACAGGCGGGCAGTAGTTCCGCCGAGCCGCAGTAGTTCGACACTAGGCACGGGACTGGCTAGGTGCTCCACCGACGAGTGAGCGTTCTACGTCCTACGGCTGCACTACAGGCTGCTGGCGCGGCTCGGCGGGGCGCCGCCGCACGAGGCGCGCCACCGCGATGCGGCGGCGGAGCAGCTGCCACCGCCGCTGGATCAGTCCCGCGTCACATGGCACGGCTCCCATGCTGCGCAGGATATGGCGTAAGCTCACCGGGCGGTGCTCCACCGACGAGTAGAGCGGCACCGCCACCGTATCGTAGAGCTTGTACGGCGACCGCTGCAACGCCTGCGGCGTCTGCTGGAGGAACTGCCTGAACGGACAGCCGCCGCGGCCGTCGCCGCTGCCGCTCACGTACACAGCGCCACCCTGAACGAGGCGGGCAGCGCTAGCAGGGCGTCAGTGTCCCGCCCGGGCAAGCAGAGTGGCTCTCGGGGAGGGCGTCCAATTTTCTGCACGGTGAAGCATCGCGCCGAGCAGTGTGTGGGAGGGAGAGGGCGTAAGACGCACCGCGCCAGCCGTACACTCGCTGAAGCTGACACCTTTCATCGAGACGTCGCCGCTGGCATCCACGTTCACAGCGCCGCCACCCTGGACGAGGACGGGCAGCGCAAGCTGGGCGTCAGCGGGCGAGGTGCGGAGCTAGCAGAATGGCCCTCGGTGGAGGGTTCCGCACATTGCCAGCCGCGCACTCGCTGAAGCTGACACCCTCCATCGAGACGTCGCCGCTGTCGGACACGGACACAGCGCCGCCGCTCTGCACGAGGGCGGGCAGCGCAAGCAGGGTGTCAGCGAGTGAGGGGCGGCACGGGGCAACAGCGAACAGGGGCCGTCCACGACGCACATCTTTGGCATCACAGCCCGTAAACGACACGTCCTTCGTCGCAATGTCGCCAGCTTGATAAGCGTACACCGCACCGCCAGATGATCTGTAGCCGAGTGACATGAGGTGCGGCTTGAAATCACCTCGCCCGTCCACAAAGTGCAGAACCCCCAGGTAGAGGCTGCAGCCTCCCGTGACGTAGAACATCTTGGAGCTATTCCCGCCGTCGAGGGTCGCGCCCTCCCCGCTGCTGCGGACCGAGACGTGGATCTTGCCGCTGCAAGTGACCTCGGTGCTGAAGGCGAGGCGGGCGCCTGGCAGGATGTACACGCTCGCGTTGCGGCCCTGGGCCAAGGCCGAGTTGATCTCGTCCTGGATGTCATCACGCGAGTAGGCGGGTGCCTCGCCGGGGTTGAGCGGGGGAAGCGGCGGCGACTTTGGCGGCGGCAGCGGCGAGGGCGGCGGCGGTGTTGGTGCCAGATGAGGCGGGTACGGCGGCAACGGCGGCGGCGGCGGCGAGGGGAGTGCCAGAGTCAGATCGATATGTTCGAACGCGTCCTCGACGTCGTAGTCGTAGCCCCAGTCGCAACAGGCGTCGGAACGCAACATAGACATCTCCGAGGGTGGCCAGAGCGCAGGCAAAGCAGAGAAAAGGCTCCCATAGCTCCCATAGCCGCCCCCATCGCAGAACACCCGCCAAGCGGACGTGCCGAGTGGTGGCGAGGATGAGTCGTCCGAGTCGATGTACGCCAAGCCTTCATAGCAAGCTCCGCATCCATCGAGACTGCTGGAGGCGGTGGTGCTCGGTGCACAACGCGTCACGATCCAGCGGGCAGGAGCGGCGCCGCTGTCGCAGGAAGGGTCCCAGTAGATGTAGTACGAGGACGAGGCGTCGCGATAGTACGGCGCTTGCGAAGCGGTGTAGCCGACAGCAACGTATTCTACGTTGTCGAGGACGGAAGATGCGGAAGCGCAGCCTCCCGTGACCAAGAATGGCGGCGGGAGCGGCTGGAGCGGTGGGAGCGGCAGGAGCGGCGGTAGCGGCGGGAGCGGCGGGGAGAGCGGCGGGGACGGCGGGAGCGGCGGGGAGAGCGGCGGGGACGGCGGCAGCGGCGGCAACAGCGGCGGGGACGGCGGCAGCGACGGCAGCGGCGGCAACAGCGGTGGGGACGGCGGACTGAAGCACAGCTGCCAGCCGGCTCCAGTCACAGTCTCATCACTCGTCCAGACGATCGATGCGCCTTCCCCGAGAGAGCCCGGTACCGCACTCGCAGAGATCGTAACGACGCCGTTGATCAAGAGTTCATCGCAGCACATCTCGAGGTCGAAGGGCGAGCCAACGCTCACAGAGACAGCCTGGTCAATAGCAATCGTGCATGACTCGGAAGTGCCATAGTTGCTCGGGTAGTTCAAAGAGCTGACGCAGTCGCCCTGTATGTTGCAGCCGTCGCCAGCTGAGACTGAGAACGACGGGGGCTGTAACGGCGGCAGCGGCGGCAACAGCGGCGGGGACGGCGGCAGCGGCGGGAATGGCTGGGACGGTGGCGAGACTGAAGCCCGAGCCGCCGGAGTGGAGGACGCCGGAGCGGAGGAGAGCAGCAGGAGCAAGGCCACGGCGCCGCAGCTCCAGCGCGTGCGGGGGTGGGCCGCCTTGCTGAATCGCTGACCCGAGGCCGCACCGAAGCGTGGCGCCAGCGCACCCAGCAGCCAAGAAGATGCGCCACTCGCTGCGAATAGGAGTGCCTCCGCGGCCGCGAAGACGAGGACCATTGCGCCGACGGCAACGTTACACGTCTACCTGCGTCACGCACACGAGCTGCGGCCGTGCCACTGTCATAGCGGCGAGGCGCGGGACCGTCTGTGGCGAAGTGGGTCGCGTCCTCCGATTTCCTCAACTCACGGTCCACACCCAACACCCTTTATGGTACCCTAGACGTGGAACGAGGTCCTCCCGCTAGACCTAGTCTACTGTGCTGCATGAATGCTTGCCCACCCAGGTGTGAACAGCACCTCGTGACCACGGCGCCGCAGGCGCCTGTTGATGGGTCCAGGTGATAGCCCTGGATGGGCAATGCATACGCCTAGTTGGACCTCAGATCGCCCGACCGCGTCCCGGTGCTCTGTGGTCGGATTTGTGACGCCGCCGCACCGCGCCGCGGCCGGGGGCCCTCCAGGCCGAGGATGGCCGTGGCGGACCGGGACGAGCTCTGGGAGGTAAAGTGTCAGTGTATATATTGTAGAGACTAACCATGTGCACAATATCTCTCAGTCTAGCTAAGCCAGGGGAGGCGATGCCGGGGCCGTACAGCAGCTTGATGGTGCTTCGCCGGCGTGCGTCCCGGAGCGGTGCCGGACGGGCGGTCCGTGGGAGGAAAACTCAGGACAACGCCGACGGCGCTCTGATTCGACTTTTTACTTCAAACAAAGCCGACGCGGCGCGTGCGGTAGGCACTCGGGATTTTGTCAGATCGGCGTGTTCACGCCCTCGCCGGGATCGTGTCCCCCACAACCTGTGTGGGCACATCAACCATTCAGGGCGACGAGTACTTCCTAGTAGCTAGTGTAGTAGTAGAGGTGCGCGCTTTATTATTTAAGCAGAATAGCCAAGCTCATGTACAGCGACGGTGAACCGGGGGCGGAGACGGTCGGCGAACGCCGTAAAGCAATTTGAGGCCGCACTCTCAGGCCACTGGAGCGCGCGCCGAGCCAGACACGACAACTCAAAATCTGGCAACCTCTCGGTCCGGAATACAGTCGCATGGCCAAGCGCCGCGCAAGGCGACAGGCAAGGCGGGTGAGTCGACGCGCGCAGCTCAGTCGATGCCCGCGTAGCAGTTGATCATCATCTGGAAGCCCTCCAGCTCCGCCGCCTTGCCCTCGGCAATCTTGGAGCACAGCACCGGCATGTCGACAGCCTGCGGTCGACCATGGGGGTGGGTGGGTGGGGTGGGGCCGCCGGGGCGAAGGGTGCTCGAAGGCGTCCGTGGCGCCATGTCGAGCAGATTGCTGCCCAGGAAGAGGAGGAGGTGCAGGTCAGACACCGTCTGCAGGAACGGCTCACCGCGCTGCTTGCGCTGCCGCAGGTACAGCCCCATCGTGCCGACGTTTTGAACCTGGCGGGGGGGGTTTGCGTGCGACGCGATCGGACGGAGCGGGCGGAGGCGGAATGTGGGGGAGGCGGGGTGTGTGGGAGGTGGTGGTGAGGAGGCAGAGGGGGGAGATATCCTGGCGTTGTGAATGCG